GAAAGTTTATGCTTCTCTTTTATTTGCTCATCTTGGACTAAATCAAATGGCATCAAGAAAGCAGTTTGCACTTATGGCTGGCTTGCAGTCAATTGGTTCCCCCTCTTCTGACAACAAAATCCTGAAACGGAAGTTACAAAGAGACGGGTGAGTGTGGAAAAGGTTTACTGTAATGCTCATGACAGGCTTATAGAAGAGGAGGCAGATATCTGTAGCACAGAGCCAAGTGTTACAACTCTGTGTAAGCTTTGACGTATCATTCAGAGATATCGCTTTCCTCCAGAGAGTCAATTTGTTCTGTTTGTGTGACTTGTTATCTTCACATTGTTGTTTTTACTTCATAATTAAATTGACAAATCCAAAATTGACAGCTGGAGAGATTTTATTGTAGCCATCGGATTTACATGGTTCAGACAGTCTTGTAGACAGGAATTTGCTTCTAACAGCGAGGTCTTTTAAAGTAGGGATGTAGAGGGTGCTGAAGATATATATATATATATATATATATATATAATATAAAATTCCCCCACCCTAAGAATAATATTAGAGCAACAGGATGAAATGAGATAAAAAGATGAAACAAGATCAAATCGGGTAAGACCAGGTATAAACTGAGAACACAAAAGACAGACAAACAAATAAACAAAAAAAAATGAGTTGATAAACATCCATCCATCCATTGTCTTTTACTCACTTCTTCCTTTTCGGGTCACAGGGGTCACCGGTGCCCATGTCCAGCTACCACTGTGTGAGAGGTCTCCAGTCCATCACAGGGCCACATAGAGACAAACAAGACGATCACTCTCTCACTCACATAGGGACAATTTAGAGTTACCAATCAGTCTAACATGCATGTTTTTGGTCTGTGGGAGGAAATTGGAGCACCCGGAGAAAACCCACGTATGCACAGAGAGAACATTCAAACTGCCCAGAAAAGCCCCCAGCAGGGTTTTGATCCTGTGGCCTTCTCATTGAGAGGCAACGGCTCTACCAACTGTGCCACCGTGCAGTCAACAAACAAACAAACAAATAAACAAATAAGCGCATTAGAACAAGATTAATTGGTAGACGTTCTGAGTCCAAGCTGGTGTTCTATGGAACAATGTGGCATTGAAATAACCACATCACTGGTTGCTATTCAACGACTTCAGTTTCATGTGCAACTTCTAAACCTCTACAGCTTAAAGGGGAATTTTATTGACATGTATACATGACATAGTATATAAATCTATATCAATACAAATGGATAGAGATAAATAATTTCCATTTATGGTTGAGACAAACCACAGCTGTTCGTGAACACAGCATAAAATGTGAATCATTGATCAGGCGCAAGATCAAAAAGAGTTCTTGCAACAAAGGCCTTTTTTTTTTTTTTTTAAGATAATCTGTTATTTTGTGATCCTGACCCATCCAGCTGAGATTATTTTATGACACTGTGTGCTGCCTGAACCCAAAGTATTGATTCACTTGTGTGCGTCCGCTAACACCACTCTCTCCGCAGCTCTTCAGGTGTTTGCAGTAGGGATGCAACATTATGAATAAGATTATTGTGCCGTCTGATGCGGTTTTGACCCCATGACTTCTAGCTTGACTTTGGCAGATGAAAGGGCTTTGCAAACATTTTCAGTTTATGCTCCTTTCAGGGTTTAACCAATCACACGTGCAGTGTGTCTCTCAGTTCAAAATGGAAACGTATGAGCACAGTTTCCATAAATGCCATGCTGGGGATTTTACTTTAGATTTGCTCTTTTTATATTCTTGGTTTTAAAAGGAGACCTGGTGTGTGAGTAATGTCATGTCACCAACCATTATTGGCAACATTTATTCACATGCTCTCATGTAGCTTTTGTGAAGTACACAACATTTATCCGGACAACTAGAGCATGGCAAACAATTCCTCCCTCAATAATGTTGGCAGTGACATTGTACAGCAGCGGCTGTGGCTGCGTTGTTTCTTGTAAGTCAGGTTAAGTCATTCATTGCCCTGAACAATAATGTAGACATTAGGGGCTGTTGATTGAATGGCTCTGTTTCCCTGTTGTTCTTTTAAGATGTGCATGTGCAAAAAAAAAAAAAAGAAAAAGAAATGAAAAATGACTCCCCCCTAAAACCCCAAAGCAGTCACCTATGCCATGATTTCACTCCTCTCCTGTGAAAATAAATATTCTTTACTCTTGACAGCAACATAATTAATAGTGATGTTTAGCAGGTCCATTTCAACAGACCCACTTAATCTAATTTTGTTTCCACTCCGCGATTTGTAAATTACTGCAAAATGACGCACCATTTACCACTGTCTCTGCTTGTGACAATGGCAATTTTTCTTCATGTGCAATTCTCTCTTCTTGTGGCTCACTTAGCCGAGGATCTTTAAAACAGAAACACTCGCATCTTCTTCTTCCTCCTCTTTTATCCCGTCAGCTGATATAGTTCCCTTACTCTCCTCCCTGTTTTTCCTCCAATTTAGCAGTATTCTAAGCCGCTGAGACCCTCTATAACACATTAGCTGTTTTACTGCCTCCCCAGAACACATTATGAGCACTGATCTAAAATGTCAGCACTACAAATGCCTTGTCCACCTTCCATTATTTGCCACTAAATGTTAAGCGTTTATATTCACACAGTGTTCCGTTGACATTTGAGAACAAGAAGCGAACGTGCAGCCCAGTGATTTGCAGCATCATTACATATCATTTGTGAACATGCTAACAAATGCAAATCATCCATGAGTTCAAAAGCCTGTTATCCTGAGAAAATATGTCTTGGAATGCTTTAAACTATAAATGACTGAAAGTGTCACATCGCTCCATCATGGTTAATTTATATTCTGCGAAAATCTTTAACACTTTGTCCGACTTAAAGTTGACAGTGTTAAACCTGTGAAAAATGTTGACGGTCACGTTGTTTTTCCACTGCTCGCTTCTCGAACAAAATTTATGAAAAATATTTTATCTATAATCGCATAACGCAAAGGATGTGGCAGAAAGCCAACAATAATGGAGGACTAAATCTTGCCGTCGTTGCTTCCAGGGGATTTAATGAGGCGAGGCAAAATGTTTGAACAAACCTCTTGACCTCAGAGGAGATCAGGGGCCTGACCTGACCACTATTCACAATGTCAACTAGGCGGACTGTCATTTTAGATATGACACAGAAGACTGATGGAGCCCAACAAATGCTACCAAGTAAGAGAAAATACAATTAGTGGGCTGGTTGGACAGGGTAAAAGGCGCCCATTTATTTAAACTGCTGCCTGACAGCTACAGCTGCCATGTCAAAGTTTCTGCTTCATACTCTGAAAAATACTATGGAAAACAATCTTTAGCCATTTCTCATTATTTATATATATATATATATATATATTTGCTTCCAAGGACTCTGACTTTTTGGTATTGTTTCAAATGGTCTTGTTTACTACTTTTGCTGCATTTCTAAATGTTTTGCACTTTTAATTCAAGAACACCACCTGATGTTTTATACGTTTTTCAGACAGTCTTTGTACCCAATCAAAAGAATGAGGTTTTAACCTGCCAAGTAAGTATGGATTATCTATAAATTATTTAAGCATAAAAATGGGGGGGGGGGGGGGGATGGTGGGCAATCGTTGTATTTACAGAATACAGATAGCACTATTGTTTTTCCAAAACATTTTTTGTAATTTTTACCGCATAATAAAAAGTGGTCCAATCATCTGGTGAGCTGGATAACTTGGAAAAAAAGTGAGGTACTGATTTCCCTCGTGGTGTGTGGCTACATCTACATGTAAAAAAGGTCTTTGTCAAAAATGATATTGCCATGTCATAACTCAAGATGGCTGCTACCATATATGTATATATGTAAACCTTTGAA